GAATTATAACCATCAAAGATAACTCTTTGTTTTCTATCAGAAAGAAACCATTTATACAAATTTCCAGGTATGCAATATTTTTTTCAAAGCTTTACTTATATCACAAAACACTAATCGTACATCCCTACCTTTATCAATGTTATCCATAATCAAATTATGTATTGATATTAGTTGGTTGACTGTAGAGTCTCTATGTTGAAATCCAGATTGGTGCTCACTAATAATATGATGTTTGATTACATAATTAAAAACATACTTAAAAAATATTTTCTCTAATATTTTACTTAAAATGGATGTGATGGCAATTGGTCTATAATTATTTGGATCATCAATAGCTCCTTTACCTTTATATAGAGCATAAACATTAACAGACTTCCAGGCTAGAGGAATAGTACCAGAAGTAATTGTTTTATTAAAGAGAATATCAAGTGGTATAATTATAGAAGGTAGAAGGATTTTTTTTATTATTTTAAGGGGAAACATTGTCAGGCCCAGGAGGTTTATTATCCTTAATTAGCTGGACTTGATCAATTATGTCTTGATCTGATATTACAATTTCACCAAGTTTGATTTGACTAAGGGGAGGTAAATCCATATCAGGATTGTTAATATTAACAGTACCATCAACAGAGCTGGAAATAGAAGTAAATACATTATTAATAGCTTCTGCTTTATCCAACGGATGAATCAAAATATCATTACCAGCTTTAAGAGGATGAGAAGTTTCTTTTTTATTGGAAAGACCACTTATGGGCAATACGCCACCACTTATTAGGTGGTATGGTCTTATCTACAAGAGCTTTTTGAAGTTTCCTAAGATATGTATCTTTAGCTTTTCTAATAAGGTCAAATACACTATTTCTCAAAATTCTAAATTTCTGTCAGGCATTTTCTTTATTAGTATTTTTTGCTATTTTATGAAATCTATTTTTTTTCCTTAACTGTGTTCTTATTTCATTAGTTATCCATGGTTTATCAATTGGCTTTATTCTTATTACTTTGCATTGAATATACTTTTCAGTAAGCAAGTTTATTTGATTTACAAGTATACTATTTATCTCATTTACATTATCATTATGTCCAATTAATGTATTCCAATCAATTCTAAAAGACATCTATTTATTTCATTCCAGTTAGCTTCACTAAATTTAAAATTTCTTTTACAAATGATTTTACTCTTAATACTTTGAAACATAAATTCATAACAATAGGACTGTGGTCACTACATAGTGGTGATAAAACTTCTGTCTGAACTCTGCACTATGTTTAGATTGTTAACATAGAATATGTTAATACCAGTTTCTGATGTATTAGTTATTCTTGTAGGACATTGAATGATATTGTGTACCTGATATTTAGTTAAAATTCTTGCAAGATGTGTATTAGAAGAAGAGAAAGCATTTTATATTTATTGTGCCAGTTATTATCGACTTTGCAACTGTCATTGTTTGGAAAGCTGGTAAACAAGAAAGTAGTTCGTTTCTGTTGAAAGTGGTAGTAGAGCAATGCCCAGGCTAAATGAAAGTGACCGCCTTCGCGCAATTAAAACCATCCAGGCTGGTATGCACCATCGCGCTGTTGCTACGCTTTTGGTGTTCACATAAACACTATTCAAGCTTTGTGGAGAAAATTTGATCAATTTGGTAATGAGAGTGACCGACCACGTACAGGTCGTCCAAGCGTGACGTCAAGAAAACAGGAAAATCATATCCGACTGGTGCACCTCCAGAATCGCTTACAAAGGGCAAGTCTGACAGCGCGGACCATTCCTGATTTGCGTGCCATCAGCCCCAGAACTGTACGGAATCGAATTCGTAAACGGCGTATCATACCTCGACGTCCAGCTGTCCTTCCAATTCTGCTAAGACGCCATTGTGTAGCACGTTTGGCTTGGTGTAGCCAAGACGTTGCGCTTTATTTGCCGAGACTGGACGGGTATTCTGCGTACGGTGGAGTCCAGGTTTCACTTAGACAGCAGCGACGGCCGTTCAATAGTCTATCGTCGTATTTGAGAACGTTTCAATGACGCCTGTGTTGTGGAGCTGACGTACACCTCTTGTGGCAATCGATGGCAATTTGAACGCCGTACGCTACCGTGGCTATATTATCCAGGCTTACGTCATCCCATTTGTGTACAGCAACGTCACGTCACGCTTTAGCAAGACTACGCTAGACCTTACGGTGGTAATTTTCTAGAGCAGCATAACATCCCTGTTGCCTTGGCCTGCAGTCACACACGATCTTTCACCGATCGAGCACGTCTGGGATGAGATGAAACGTCGTTTACGTGAGCTGCCTACATAGCCGGTGACGTTGGCAGCGTTGGGTCACACGTTTGTCCAGATCTGAAACGGCATTCCCCAGGTATTCTTCAGCAATTCGGTACGCTTTATAAGGCGACGGTGTCAGGCCCGCATCGACATAAATGGTGGACACACACGCTTTTAGCGTTTTTAGGTTTTTGACCCCTCGTGTCTTTCTTCCCCAATACTAATAAAATGACGGATGCTGTGGCATTTTTAATGTATTGAAGTTTTGCAAACTGCCTAATAAAGAATGTTACCTGCATTTTTTATCGTTTTATGTCTTGAACTTATGTTTTTATCAGCATGATCGCCCTACACAGTCACTTTTTCCTCTAGTATATAACAGTTAAAGCGTCTAAGAAGAGCAATACACTTCCGAAGTATCCAAGCTGTTCAGTAGACCAAGGACGTTCGGATAACCATCGACAAAGAACCAAAAAGGCAATCCAGATGGAAAGTTTAACTTTAGCGTCCTTAGTATCTTCAAGACCCTCCACGAGGAAGAAAATAGAATTTGGGACTGTGGTTATCATCTTGTTTTATACTATGGATGGCCACAAAAAAAATACCATTAAAACCTGACTGTTTATATCAGCGCCGTTTTCGTTTTATCGTGCTTCGGACGGTTGGACCGTTTGTACCAGTTTGACCGGAATTGTTTGTTTATAAAATAGGGACGGGTGTTGTTTTTCTGGCATGCATCGGAAAACACTTCTAGGCCTGCAATGGCATACATTTGTGTATGCAGGCCCGTCAGGATTTATCCTTGAAATTTTGTAATAAAAAGAAACCTGATTGGTCCACATGAACACCCGCGATTCGATAGCCACAGAATTCCGCTAACACCTTTTTTGAGAAGTTATCTTCTATTATGGCAGGAATATTTACTGAATCGTAGACTATTGAAAAAGTATTTTCAATGTCATTTTGTGGTATTTTGGGATTTCATACCGATCAGGCATTCGTTTTTTGCAAGATAATCCTGAATGGTTTGGTATTTTTGTCTTGCATTTTCTCCGGATGACAAGCAACATCTATGAGACGAATATAAAAGCTAAAAGACAATTTTGGCTATAATAAGGGTTTAATTCGGCCCGATTTTCTTAAACCTGGTAGGAGTGGTAAGCAGAAGATAATGCAAACGACTTTGATTGGATGATATACTTACTTACGTCCATAGATTGAATTATATAAAGCCAATTCGAATGATATCTTTCTGCCATTTCATTTGCGGAAACAATAGCTCATTGTTGTTTCGGAGGATTTTGTAACAGCCTCTCAAAACACACATTTTCTACCTTATTCATATTCATACATTTTAACTGTGTTAATGGAATATGATCCTTATCATAGTTCAAATATAGAAACAAGATTTATTTCATCAAAAATAGAAACAGCTATGTTAACAAAAATATCTTTTCACCAATTGCTTCAAACAGTTTTTAAATAAACCATTAACAAATGTCACAAAACACTAATCAGTACCCTGAGATATTTTAATGAACAGAAAGTTTCTCGCCAAGTACGTCTTATATATGATTATTTCCAGGATATGATCATTTGTTGGGGATAATTATATAAAGAACAAACACACTTTAAAAATTAATGTTACGACCATGGTCGGTTTCTCTGATTTCAAAAAGAGTCCATCAGTGAAAAGATGATACTCATTCATTCTATATATTGGTATTTATATGGGCAGGTGCGTCTTAAATTGAATACAAGATTACACTTATGTAAAATCTGATACCTGACCCATAAATCAATCATTTTGGATGGATGAAAATACATTTTCTACTATGAGAAAATAAATAGTGGATGTTTTTCTTATTATCAGGTCGCATAGACATACAAGTATGTTCAACATCGTCGATGTGTGTAGTAATAAATGTCACGACAGGCTGTGGATATCTTAGCGCATGATAACGTGAATCTGCATGCAGTGTGCTGTATGTACTGTATATATAATATCAAAGTTTGGATTTTTTAAATTTGCAAAAAGCATGAAACGCTAAACAGATAGCAGAATTTTTAGGCTGGAGCACCGAACGTTGCCGCAAAAAGCCGAAGCAATGTAGGTAAACTAAATCACTTGTAGACGAAACACAGGTGGTTACAGCATTACCCAGGGGCAGAACGCGATAAATATTTCTACCTTGGTGTAAATTATGCGAAAATCTAGACCTTCAAAATGTCTATGTCTATCTTAAATGAGATGTGAATTGTTTTATCAGGAGATTTATATTATATATAAAAAAAATCTACCACCCTTCAAAAATTCAACAACTAAAACCTGGATTTTAATCAACTTTTAACAAACTAGTAAACTCTTTGTGCAAAATTTCTACCAACAGTTAAGGTTTCGGCAGGTCAGAGACCTAATGGGACTTAAGTGAGATTTGTCACAGCTATGCCGTCGAGTCGTTGGTTCCCTTTATTCTATGTTTATTTCCTATCTCGCCTATGTCCAGTCCCTTTATATAATACTACTGCAGTATGCATGCCCATGTTTTATGTGTGTGGTAACAGTGTATAAGCATAGGACTGCTTACTTAGACCACTTCCTGTGTCACCTTTAACACTTAATATGACCCAGATCCGTCCACAGGTGTTCAGCTTTCTTACATAAGCACTGTTCTCCTACGGGTATACACTAGTACTATACGTATATGATACGGTGTAGTGCCCCTCTGTTTACATTCACAGATAACGTGTGAAGGTCACCTGGTATGTAATGCATGATAGCAAGACTCAAAGGTTACAGACATGGACTGTTATTTTATAGATATATACCTACAATAATAACATTGGAAATAGATTGACGACCCAGTGACTGTTGAATAACACCCAGCTCTCGTTTAACAGGTAGGTGGGAAGTAATGCTCGGACAACAAGTTCGATTTGCAATGTGATTAATTCGTTTCATGCGGATCAGACGCAATATGGAGGCACGGTAGTCTAGTGGTAGGACGTCGGGCTCGTGTTCGAAGGGTGACGGGTTCGAGTTACGGCACGGCACTGTGTTGTATCTTTGAGCAAGATACTTCACTCCGCTTGTTCCAGTCTACTTAGCTGTAAATTAGTACGTGGTTGGGCGGTGCTAGAATTGTTGAATGCTAGCTGTTAGTGCCGAAATGGCAGATCCGGCTGTATGCTCTCCAGGGTGTTAAAAGGAACCACGGATAATAATTTGTGAACCGATTTGAGACGTAGTTCCTTGGAGTCTACTATGCTGAAGCGCTGGTAATTTAAGCACTTTTCTCTGTTTTCATACATCATACTTCGTTCTTTGTATTTGTGTCGTTGCTCCTCTAATATTTCATTTAAAATCCTTCACAAAAGCTAAGGTAATATGAAAACGACATCCGTGGACGACGGGGCTACTCAGCGGCCATATTTAACGTTGTTTCTCTGATATGTATATATAACTGCATAAAGTATTACATGGCATCATCTCCGGTATTATTCTTACAACACTAAACAGGGTTGCCTAAAGAGATATCCAATAGGAGAAGAGATATAAACAGAAAGGAAAACTGTACAAGACACTGGTCGTTTGTAGGAGTTGGGTTTTGTTATATCTTGATACACAACGGTTCCACACTCTGCTGAGTTTAGTATTTCTGGTTTTGTTTTCAAACTCATTAAGACCATGATTGTTTATAGAAGTTTAAATTGATTTTTGGGTTCGCACATTCTGTTTATTGTAGCCTGAGGTTATTCCGTTTCTCCACTCTTCCCCCACCAATAGTAACCCCTGATAAATCGCCTTACATTTCATAATGTCAGACCACACTCCTTTATTAGCCTACAAATTCCTCGCGTCCTAGCTACTGCCTCGTGTGGTTTTAAGTCTGACCTACTGGAGTAAAGTAAATACGTGGTGTCTTGACTGACCAGTCATGTGACCCGCGGTGACATGTGATGGTTTATTGGACATAACATTATTTGAACCCTATAGCTATCGAAAGCTTTCTCAGATTGTAAGCATACCGTACGTATATTAGTCTCGATAACTACATTTTAGTCAAGCTGTTTTAAAGAGAAAATCGAGAAAAGATAAGAGACAGAGTAAAGGTGCACTTATAAGAGAGAAAAGAAATATAGGATCTTACATGAGTTTCTATTTCGATTTCATATGAACTGTATGAAACGAGTCTAAGAATTTTTCAATTTAACGAGCCTCTGGCGAGTTTCATCAATTTCATATGAAATGAAAACGAGTGTAAGATCTTTTTGATCGCATAATCAAGATTTGTGGTATTTATTCATGTTAAACGACAATTTTTCATGCAATCTTGAAATTTAAAAAGCCGCCATTATGACATCAGTGAGTAAGTCTATGACGTTCGGTGCTTGTCCTAGGCGTGACGTCACAATTGAAGCAATTGAAACTTACAACCAATATCAAAGCGGACAGGTCATATTACATGGGTTAACATATGTCAATTAACTGATGACACCAGTGTCTTTTGCTCTGTCATTCTGTCTTTCATCTGTGTAATATCTCGCAAGCATTACGGTGACGTGTTCTCCATGGTCAACGCAGAACGACCTGAGAAATGTCATATTACTGTAGGCACCATGCCCCTATCTATGTCATATTACTGTAGGCGCCATGCCCCTATCTATGTCCTATTACTGTAGGCACCATGCCCCTATCTATGTCCTATTGCTGTAGGCACCATGCCCCTATCTATGTCCTATTGCTGTAGGCACCATGCCCCTATCTATGTCATATAACTGTAGGCACCATGCCCCTATCTATGTCACTATAGGCACCATGTCCCTATCTATGTCATATTAATGTAGACACCATGCCCCTATCTATGTCATATTACTATAGACTCCATGCCCCTATCTTTGTCATATTACTGTAGGCCCCATGCCCCTATCTATGTCATATTACTGTAGACACCATGCCACTATCTATGTCATATTAATGTAGGCACCATGCCCCTATCTATGTTATATTACTATAGGCACCATGTCACTATCTATGTCATATTACTGTAGACACCATGCCACTATCTATGTCATATTACTGTAGGCACCATGCCCCTATCTATGTTATATTACTATAGGCACCATGTCCCTATCTATGTCATATTACTGTAGACACCATGCCCCTATCTATGTCATATTACTATAGACACCATGTCCCTATCTATGTCATATTATAACTATAGGCACCATGCCCCTATCTATGTCATATAACAATAGACCCCATGCCCCTATCTATGTCATATTACTCCTATCTATGTCATATTACTATAGACACCATGCCCCTATCTTTGTCATATTACTGTAGGCACCATGCCCTTATCTATGTCATATTACTGTAGGCACCATGCCTCTATCTATGTCATATTACTATAGACACCATGCACCTATCTATGTCATATTACTGTAGGCACCATGACCCTATCTATGTCATATAACTATAGGCACCATGCCCCTATCTATGTCATATTACTGTAGGCACCATGCCCCTATCTATGTCATATTACTGTAGGCACCATGCCCCTATCTATGTCATATTACTGTAGGCACCATGCCCCTATCTATGTCATATTACTGTAGGCACCATGCCCCTATCTATGTCATATTACTGTAGGCACCATGCCCCTATCTATGTCATATTACTGTAGGCACCATGCCCCTATCTATGTCCTATTACTGTAGGCACCATGCCCCTATCTATGTCCTATTACTGTAGGCACCATGCCCCTATCTATGTCCTATTACTGTAGGCACCATGCCCCTATCTATGTCCTATTACTGTAGGCACCATGCCCCTATCTATGTCCTATTACTGTAGGCACCATGCCCCTATCTATGTCCTATTACTGTAGGCACCATGCCCCTATCTATGTCCTATTACTGTAGGCACCATGCCCCTATCTATGTCCTATTACTGTAGGCACCATGCCCCTATCTATGTCCTATTACTGTAGGCACCATGCCCCTATCTATGTCCTATTACTGTAGGCACCATGCCCCTATCTATGTCCTATTACTGTAGGCACCATGCCCCTATCTATGTCCTATTACTGTAGGCACCCTGCCCCTATCTATGTCCTATTACTGTAGGCACCATGCCCCTATCTATGTGATATTACTGTAGATGTAATAGTAATACTTATGTAAATGTCGTATTCCTGTACATGTCATATCCTGTTGATGTTATACATCTATGATTGTATACCTCCTCTGTAAATGTCAAACTCCAGTTTATGTCATACATCTGTAGATGTCATACCCTAGAAATGTCATGTTCATGTAGGGCGAAATAAAATATCAATCGTGCAGCATTTTGAAAAGGAATAAAATGACACTGTATTAAACATAAAGAGTGCAGGTTGATAGGCAATTTTCCTGATAAGAAATATTATACTGAAACATACTGAACATGTAGTTAATATCGTCTGTATATTATAACCTAAACAGTTATACTGCAGTACTATCAGTTCACATTAAGAATATATTAAAAGGATATTGAATTCAATCGACGGAAATCTAGAAGAAGAAAAAAAACCTTTCTATTCATTTCATTAATTCTATTTCGTGCATTTTCTTGTACTTAAATTATGTTATGTCGCCTTCTGATTTCAAGATAAATTTACAAATGATGTACAATAAGCTACATGATCCAAATTCCATGTAAAGGTAATGTCGTGTCTTTATTATTCAGGTTAAGAAATTCTGGTTCCTACTCAGATCGGCAAGTGTAGTTGATAATGAACGTAATACCAAAAGCATCAATACTAAACACATTTGAATGGAAAGTGGTATCACTCTAGTAATACATTTCATAGATAGTGCAAAGGGAAAGGAGACCAAATAACATGAGATAATTTAGAGCTTAATATGCATTTGCAGGTGGTTTTTTTAGCAATATTCCTGTATTTTATGACCACAACTCATAACGTTCGTCATGAAGTTTGGATTGTAGGTGTGTTCTGAGATATATGCTCTGTTTTGTGCAAATTTCAAGTCATGGGTATTTTTCCATTTCCAGAAATAATAATAATAACAAAACCGTCAATCCAGCATTTTATTTCTAATAGAGATTTTTTCATCAAAACCAATCTCATCGTAATGAAAGTGTAAAGGTATGTGTAATAAATGGGAGTTTAAGTAGCGGACAGGACACAAACAAATGAAGTTCATAAAATTTCAAATCTTTATCTACAAAACAAGAGAAAATAGTTTACATTGAATGAATTCTATTTTTTACGGAATCTGCAGGTTAGTTATGGTCATCAGGAGAATCTGTTAGAACCAGTACCTGAAACGCAGAAAAAAGTATGAAACAAATAGAACGTACATAAAAGAAAAAATTAAGGTGGAATAATATTATGTAATATTTATCCAAAATACAAAAGCTAAATGTACTGATTGATACTTGTATACATCTTGACAATTTTTGTAGTCTTCACATGCATTGACAAAATATCATTGCATTAGATGGCCATCCATGTTACACCTACCTACAAAGGCAACATTTCCTCCTATCTACAGACACTCTGTGGTTGCCCTACACACAACTGAACAGCATGGCCCTCTCAAATAATTATCTTTTACGAAATAATTGATTGAATTTTAGGTTTTGGATTTACGTCTTTTTCTCACAACCATACAGGTTGGATCCTACTCCTTTAGAAGTTGAGATATCCTACAGGATCATTCACTTGTATGGGGCCCCTCCGATATGGACGATGGTGGTGGGGAGGGACACCAACCCAAGGAGCTAGAAAAGATATACACGAGTTAACACTACTGTTGACTGTTTTCTTACAATACTATATTAAAATTTTAAACTATTTTCCACTTAGTTCAGATTGATGAAACGAGAAATGAGT